AATAGCCAGTCTCTCAATGTGTCCTGGTATGAACTGTACTATCTCTTAAACATACCACAAGATGTGAAAAGGGGTTAGGACAATGATGAATCAGCGTCAGTTGTGTTGGTTGAGACTCTCTACACAATGAGAGATAACACACAACATATACCAATATACCATCTAGCAGTAACACTTTCCTCAATTGTGTTAGTTGAGAAAAACCTCACACAATGAGTTTACTGGTGGTCATACCTTATATCATTATTGAAGAGCACTGTATCCTGTGGCACCACACCAATGGCCTTCCTCACACTTTCCTGCTGAACCTGGGTGAGGTGTAAAAAACTATTTTAAAATTTATTTTATGAGAACTTGCATGGTCATTTTAGTTATTTCTACAGAAACATGTAAGTGTCTATTTACAGTTCATTTCACCAACATATTAATAATAATAATAATAAATATAATTATAATAACAATGATAATAATAATAATGCCATGGCAATGGTGTAAGTAAAAATACAGATACTAGTAGATAATTATATATTCTAAATAAATGGGTATCCAATGACCAGAAATAAATACATTGGTTTCTTAATAAAAAAGGAATACAAGAGAAACAAAAATTAATACACTATACAATGACCACTAGAAACTAACGTACTGAAGTCTTGAGCATTATATCACCTGGGATAAACAACTAAGTTTAGAATACTACCTACCTGGCTGATATCCTGACCATCAATGCGTATTGTTCCAGAAGTGACGTCATAAAACCTGAACAGCAGTCGTATGATGGTGCTCTTACCACTGCCCGAGTGTCCTACCTGCAATCATAATAATTTTAGTTATAATACATTTATAATAATAATACATTTATTTTAAGTCTAAACTCCATATGAATATGTTCGTTAGACTTTACAAATATGTACATACATATAACAAGTATACAACTGGTCAAAACACGCTGTGTACACAATCTCGCCTCCCTGGGGAGGTTAATTAATCACAACATGTTTTTTTTCCAAATCTAGGCTTACAAACTTATAAATGCATTGTTGAAAATGCTAAAAACCAGAGTGTTAATTTAAAATTATCCACCAAATGTATCATACATTATATTTAAAAATTAAGTTTTTCAAATAAAAGAATTCATATATATGTATGTGTGGTTCTTAGTTTATAAATGGAACTCTCTGGCCATAGAATACAAAAATGTTTATATATCATGAAACTATTCTTTTCATGCTGTGACCTCCACTAGTAATGAGGAAATTCTATTAGCACTGTTTTTTTTTCAAGAATTGCAAATCAAAATATTATTTTAAAATTATCAACTATAATCAATACTCACCAAAGCATAAGTCTGGCCTGGAGGGACAACAAATGTCACATCTTTAAGGATCTCTTTGCTGAAGGAAAATATAATAATAATAATAATAATAATAATAATAATAATAATAATAATGTTTGGAATAGAATTCTTGTAATTCTATAGTGCCTAATTAATATATGGTCATTTTACAATTTTTCTTGACTGGAACAAAGTGACCTTGCTGTTCCTGATTCATGTCCTATGAAAATAGATACTAACACGTGCAAATATCTTAAGTTCTCTTATTTAAGGAAAGTGTTCTCTTACTAATGGAAAGTAATCTTTCATTTTTTTGGCAATTCTGATTCTGGCAAACTTCTCTTTTTTCATAAAATTAAACTTCAACTCTTCATCAAAATTTTTTGAAAACAATTACAGGCTATAAATAACAAGCCGTTACCTTGGCTCATAGTGAAATCCAACATGACTGAACTCTATCATCCCTTTAGTGACCACCAACTCTGAGGCACCTGGGACATCCTTAACCTATTAGAAATCAAATCAAAGTATAATATTCATCAGCCAAATTCTATATCAATCAGTTATTATTAATTTATGTGTAGACATTATTGGGTGTCTATGCAGCTTTGAATACTGTTTGCATAACAACATTATTTAAAGTGATTAAAAAAACAAGTAAATACTATAAATGAAACACTATCAAGTATGTAGTAATTAAAATACCTGTGATCCAACTCCTTACTAATATATGAAGAAGATTTAACTAGATCAATAATAGCATTTTTTTTCATTTGAGTCCTTAAATGTTTTTATTTTGCTGTTAATTAGATAACTGCTTCAAGAGACTTTAAATATAAAGACTTTTAATAGTAAAAATACCCTCTCACATTTACATGCTATTCTGAACCAGTTTCAAGTAAAACAACTAAACCCCTCCTTCAACTGATTAAATAACTGCTCACCTCTTGCTTCTCTTGTAGAAGATCAAACATATTTTCCATATCAATAAAAGACTGTTGGATCATCCTAGTTTATAAAATAAAACTTATAATTACAAGACAGTTAAATTGAAAAGAATATTAGTACATCTGTATAAATAAATAATATTCTAAAATTAAAAATAAATAAAAATGTAAAATTTTAAAAAGTTGTCTTTTTTGAGTGAGTAGTTTGAGTAGTTTGCCACAAGTACCTCTTCCTCAGCTGCACATTCATTATTCACTGTGTGCCAACTGTTAATATAAATGTAAAGGTATAATAAATGGATATCACTCCCTCAACCTCCCATAAAAAAAAAAAAACCCGATGCAATCCCATGATAAGATCCACCCCATCCCATACAAAAATTACTGGGATAACTTTTCCAATTTTTTCATTCACCATAATCACATTACCTATAATACGTCCCAAACCAGTTAAGGGGCATATAAAGCTGTATGATGTAGGTGGCAAACAGCACGTAGTCCCCCACAGTGAGGACCCTGTTTCCTATGTTAAAGTTCTCAGCCACCAGCCAGGCACACAACATGGAGCCTGCCAGGAGACCAACATGGATCACCAGGTTCTGGACGGTGTTCAGGAGGTTTAGAGAAGCCGTAGATATCCACTCTGCTTTCTGGAAGAGTGAAATAAGAGAGAGATAACAATGGCCTTATAAATGATGCTTGCAACATGAATAATTTTTATATTAATCAGTGTATGAAATTCAGGAAATTACTAGCCAGACCGCCGGGCAGGTAACTCTAAAAAGTTAGCAGCCCGGCCATATAGTTACCTGCCCTAGTTACGATAACACCTAGAGTTAAGAGAGGTATACTGAGGGGGTCTAGAATGCATTCTTGGGAGAGTAATTTGGAAATGAAAGGGCAATATCGTGCCTTATGCATGGAAATTTAGAAATTGTTTGGAATTTCTACTGTCAGTGTTGGATTTAGAGGGGGTCAGGGGGCTCCTGACGCCCCCCTTTTACGCCGTTTTTTTTTCAAAAAAACTCACCTCTTGAAATAAGACTTTCACTAGTTGAATCATAGTTCTAAACCATACCAAATGGCACCACTCACCATCTAAAATACCAAAAATGTTCAGGGCCCTTTAGCGGGCGGGGGAGGGCGGGGGTAGTCAATTCAGTTTATGCTCACCTTGCAAGCTGTCTCATTTCTTCTTCAATAATTTATTCATAACTTTTATTCCGATTTCGTGATATCATTTGATCATAATTTTCGCTTTTCTGTATAGCAACAAGTATGACCAAATATATATATTGTTGTCAAATAAATCGATCTCTGTGCTAACAATAAAGAAGAAAGAAT